AAATTGCGAGAGCGACCAGAAAAAAAGAAGGCAAACACCGAAGCAAAAGCAAGACTGCCAGAACTGAAGCTGGAGACCCACACAAGTACAAAAAGTTGGAGAGCCGGCAGCAGTGCAGCAAACACCGACGCAAGCAGCACAGCGGTCGTCGACAACGGCGAACGTCATTATCACTTCGGCGAAGCCAAGCAACGAAGTGGAATTAAATAGTTTGCGACAAGAGAGCAATCGAACAGATGTTGGCTCTACTGAAGCGAGAGGTTGCTGTTGTTTTGATTTACTGTGTGCACAGAGTATATAAGACTCTTCCTCAGAAAAATTGTTCATTAATTTTATTATATTTTATAATAAGTTATTTCACTCGGCGTAAGTGGAACTCGCGAAAGATCGGAATATAAAAGGATTGTTATAAAGTTATCGTTTAAGGAACAACAAAACTTTGTCACGAGAAGTTCTATATGAAAGAGCCTTGACGAGATATTGGGCTCCAGGATTAATTATGAAATACTACGAAGACAAACCTTTCGCCATCAGTCAGCAAGTAGTGAAGCCCTCAAAAGCTCCTATGAGTACCTACCGATTTATATTGGCATTAAGGACTTAAAGAATAACGTCACTCTAGAGGTTGAAAAATAGACTATTTCTTAAAAATTTAGTGTAGAAGTAATCCATGTCCTTTTTGAAAAGCGTCCACGGGAGGGACGATTTCTTCTAAAGGTGAGACCTCGAACAGAAAAGCAATAAGTTTTATGATCTACAAACTATAGTTTTTGGAAGAACGTCCGGTTCTATTTTTTAACCAATTTTTTTTACTTTACTAACGTACCGCTTACGCGTTTTTAGCCGATTTAACAACATTGCGCCATTCGTTTGTTCTTTTTGCTGTTTGGCACCAATTGGAAATACCAAGCACAGCCAGGTCCTTTTCTACCTGGTCTTTCCAACGAAGTGGAGGTCTTCCTCTTCATCAACTTTCAAAGCTGGAGTATTCGCATCCATCCGGACCACATGACCTAGCCAGTGTAGCCGCTGCTTCTTGATTCACTGAACTATATCAATGTCGCCGTATATTCGCCGTTGCGAATGCGCTAGCGACCATAAATCTTACGCAGAACCTTTCTTTCGAAAACTCATGACGCCGACTCATCAGATGTTGTCATCGTCCATGCTTCCGCACCATATAGCAGGACGAGAACAATGAGGGACTTGTGAAGTTTGGTTTTCGTTCGCCGGGAGAGGACTTTACTTTTCAATCGCCTACTCAGTCCAAAGTAGTACCTGTTGGCAAGAGTGATTCTGCGTTTGATTACAAGACTGACGTTATTATTGGTGTTAATGCTGGTTCCTAGATAGACGCAATTATCTACGACTTGAAAGTTATGACTATCAACAAAGGTATGGGAGCCATGGGGAATGCGACGACTGTTAGTTTGATGACAGGAGATATTTCGTCTTGCCCTCGTTCACTACCAGAGCCATTCGCTTCGCTTCTTTATCAAGCCTGGAGAAAGCAGGACTAACGGCGCAGTTATTGAGGTCGATAATGGCAACATAATCGGCGTACGCCAGTAATTGTGCACTCTTATGAAAGATTGTACCTTCTCAGTTCAGCTCTGCAGCTCGTATTATTCTCTCCAGCATCAGATTGAAGAAATCACACCACAAAGAGTCACTCTGTCTGAAATCTCGTTTGGCACCAAACGGCTCGGAGAGGTCATTTCCAATTCTGACTGTGCTTCTGGTGTTGTCTAGCGTCAGGTTACGCAGTCGAACTTCTTCATGGTCAGTTAATGGGTTTCGGGCTCGCCATCTCTGGATTCTGTATTTTCACTACTATACAGCAGGTTGGAGAAGTGTTCCCTCCATAAATTCAGTATGCTCTGGGCATCGGCTAGATCACTACTTTGCGTCCTCATAGAATTTTCGAGCATTACCCTTGTCGGCCAGCCTCTCAAGCTCTTCATACTCACGCATCTCGATCTCTTTCTTTTGCAGATGCTTCTTGCTTCCTTCTTCATCTCTCGGTATCTATCCCATCCCGCACTTTTAATGGTCGATCGCAAGGTTGCGAGGTAGGCAGTATGTATATGCACGCAAAGTTCAGCAATTTGAAAGGTTTTTTTCACTTTAAAACCAATTGCAAATCGTTTCTTGGACCCAAAGGTATCCGATGAGCAAAAAAAATGCGTTTTCCAAAGTTCTAGAGTGGCTTTGCCGGCACTCCAGTAGTTAAGGACAGATTGGGAAGCATACTAAGGTAAACAGCTCCCGCCGGCCCCAGACGTTTTCGCAGCAGCATGCCTAATATTTGCATCCGGGCAGGATATTGGCCGACGAAAGAGTAGGAGTAGGAGTAGGAGCATAGGAGAACGCCAACAGAAATTTATTTTAGACTGAACCTCACCTAGGCCAAAAACCTTTGGACTCGACGGTTTACAGACAGGCTTTGAGCGCCATTCCCCGAGAGTTTATCAACATGTTCTTAAACTCTCTTCTAGTGATAGATTTCTCGGAATACAACCACCACCTATTGCAGACGAAAAGCTCGAGCTGCCTGGGGAGACCTGAGCAATACTGTCACAATCAAGATCTGGATATTGTAGGCGACTTAATACCTACTTATTCTAAGTTTGGCACGACATACCAAACTTTCAGATGTCCTACAGCACACTAACTACTTCTTTACATGCCCCTTAAAACTGACTCATCAGTTTCAAATAGCCAAGGAATTTGTCTGCGGTATATTGACCGTGAGCCCAGCAGACTCGTTTTTCAAATCATTTCGGCCGCTCTTAGTGGAGCCCTCCCAGAACCACTTTGTTCCGTTATAAGGGAATGGTATTTGGGATCTGGAGGAATTTTCTTGACCTACTACCTTATATACTGATGTATGTACTATGCATTTGCACATACATATATATATATATTTTTTTAAGCCAATCAAAGTGAAATCCACTTCATTCATACATCAAATCACATATCGTGATGCCTTTAATACATTATACTTTTGCTTAAATTACGGTTAATGGGAATTATGACGAGCGAGGGCCTTCATAAATAAACAAGTGAAAATAAATATGAAAATCCGTAATAAGTATTTTATACAATTGTATATTTGTATTATAACGGCTATTATGAGGAGCGAGTACGCGAAAAAAACGCAACGATGTGGAAACAATCTGACATGCAAAGCGGCAATTAGGGCGTTGGGCCGGTCGGCCGGCCATCGAGCGAGCAAACAGGTCGACCGACCAACCATTCATTCAGTCAGGCAGTCAGGCAGTCAGGCAGTCAGGTAGTCAGTCACTCATTCAGTCAGCGAGCCAGTGAATGCTTATATGAGGCGCATAGCGTACTCTTTGCCAAACAAAAAACAAAACAAAAAAGTAAAATGAAAATGAAAAGTAAAAATGTGAAGAAATAATAATAAATAATATAGCAGAGCATTCTGTAAGGTCACTTCACATTCATAATACGAAATTTTCCAACAGACAAAACATACATATATGAGCAGACATAATGAAGCAGTGATACTTACATACATATATATGTAAATACTTAAGTATAACATTCTTGAAATTTTCATGTTTATGCTCTAAGAGAAGCCGAACTGTCAATCTCAATGGTTTTCTCAACACGGACAATAAAACTTGAAAGAAGCATACTTGGTTCTGACCTCGAATATAAATATATCTGCAGGCTTGCGATGGAGGATAATTGGAGAATATTAACTTGAACCTTGAACTCCAACGCATAATCACTATCGCAAACAGGTGCCACTTTGGACTGAGTAGGCAATTGAAAAGTAAAGTCCTCTCCCGACATTTAAATATTTTAATAGAAGTAAGCGACTATGCCGACTAGGATTTGTCGCTATAATTGAAACCACTCCATCTTCGAAAGTATTCGATGTAATACGCGCTGGTGGAAGCAGAGAGGGAAACCTCCACTCCGTTGGAAGGATCAGGTCGAGAGCGACCGAATTCCATTTGATATTTCCGAATGGCGCCAAAGAGCGGATATAAGAAACGAATTGGGAAACGTACATTTCTAGGAGACTGAAGCAAAAATAGAGAATGACGATGGGTACGAGAACCAGTAAGTGTTTGGTATTAAAACATATTTTCAATGATTGGAATAGACTTCACTTGAGGAGATCAAATTAATCAAAGGCTTCCGCAAGGTTAAGATCAACGTGAGAATCTAAATTGCTCATGCTTTGAAGAATTATGTTTCAGGGATGTATTATCTGAAGTAAAAGACTCTTTTGGACGTCTTAGAAAATATTACAAAACAAGTGGTAATGAAGAATGAAATGTTTTCGCCATGTACACACCTACATACTACTCACATAAACATCCAAATATCCATAAACACAAACACATTTCATCCAGACCACTTCTTTGTGTCGCCCGGCTAGTGTTTGAGTGGTTTATATTTATTTGAAGCCAACATTTAGGGGAAGGTTGCAAAAACTGCGTAGGAAATGCAAACCAAATTGGCAACAAATATCGATTGCACTACAAATTGAAGAAGAGGCTTAAAAGGGAGCGCTGAAGACGTACAAGTTCTTCAACGTGGTAGTTTCACACCTTTGCGGCTGAGTTGAAATATAACATTAAAGACTGGGCAGGAAGGAAATTGAGGGGAGGGAACGAGGTACACGAAATGGAAAACAGAAAAAGAGAAAGAAGCACAGAAGCAACAACAAATTAAAAATAGCAATGAAACCTGCACACAAATTAGGATTAACATGTGATGGAACGAGGTAGACAGGTGTTATTTTTAGAAAAAAAAAAATATATAGAGAAATGATTTTTTTTTAACTTTTTTTTAAAGCTGACAACGCAAGCATTTCGATTTGTTAAAAAATATAGACCTTATTAGGTGCGTCGGTGGTTGGAAAATTTGTATCCAATATGAACAATGCCTTCATTGCAGTCCACGCAAACTCAACTTTCCCCCAATCCCCAAACACTCCACGCTCCACAATAATTTACCTACAAAAACAGGTAACTGTCTCCTCCACATCCAGCGGCAGTGATAACTGCGTTGCGGCTGTGCCACTGCGCTGTTGCACAGCACGACCAGGAACATGGTGGCGCGACGTCGAGGACGACGCATGCAGGAACAAGGAGCCCGGAAATGTGGCGGTTGCTGCATTGGCGACACCGCCGCCAGAAGATGGCGTCTGCGGCACTGAATCGGATGTGTCGGAGGCTAAAGGCACGGCGGAGTAACGTACGAGTATGGCGCGACTGACACGATTGCTGCCCGTCAAATTCGAAAGAGCCCAATTCATGTTTGCGGAAACGCCAGGATAAGGCCACTCGATGCAAAGCAAACGCACGAAATATTCAATCACTCACAGCGGAAATTATGTGTGTGGCCAGCGCCGAAGCAACAAACCGCACGAAATTGCCAAATGCGACTGAAGCCTAAAAGTCGCCGTGGCGTATACAAAACCAGCTGCGGAAAGTGCAAAATATTGTTGCAAGAAATGGTGGCGCTTGATGTGGTGGTGGCGAAAATGACGCCCGACAATAAAAAATTAGAAAAAAAAAATTTGGTAGAAATATAAAACAAAGACCGGAAGGAAAATGTGGCGGAAAGGCACAGTGGTGCTTAAATGCAATTCAATAAAATTGTTTGGTGGGAAAACATTTCAGAGCGAGACGGGAAACAAAGTAATGACAAAATTAAAATCTACAAAAATAAAAGAGTTTATATTAAATTAAAAAATATATAAAATAGAATAAAAAAAGATAAAAAAATATTATGAAAAAATAGAATTAAATTAAAATAAAATTAATAAGCTGAAAATAAATTAAATTAAAATTAGATTATAATTGTTATTAATAAAAAATTAAATTAAATTAATTAAAATAATATACAACAAAATTAAAAAAACTATAAAAAAATACTAATTAAAATAAAATAATTAAAGAAATCATTTAAAATTTAAAAACAAATTAAGAAAGTAATAATATATAAACAAAATAAAATAATAAATTAAATTAAATTAGAATTAATAAATAAAGTATTTTGTATTAAATTGAAAAAATGGATAAGAATAAAAATAAATAAAAAAGAAAATAAATTAAATTCGAAGGAAATAAACTAAATATAAAATAGAATAAAAAAAATTAGACTAAAATAAATTAAAATAAAGTGATTTTTTTAACTAAAATTAAAAAAAAAATTATTAAAATTCATTATACCCCCCTTTTTTCGTTCCAATCACTGTTGGCCGTGGTCAGAAATCAGACAAAAGCCCGCAATAAAAACAACCATAAGCCAAACTATAAACTAAGCCCAGCCAACAACAGTCGTGGCAGTTGTAGGTACGCATGCAACTCAACATGGGTGGGCGACTGACTAGCACTGCACCGAGAACCTTCAGCTGAAAATGGAAATAAATTAAATTCCTGCATACCGTCGCAGTGCCTTAGCTCGCCCCTGTATATTGTTTTTGTAGCTCTTTTTTTTTGTTTTATTCAGTTGTTTAAAACCTTTTTATGCGTTGGAAAAATCAATCTCGTACGCAAGCGAAAGTGATTTCCCAAACGCGAGCCTACGACCAAGCCAAGACATAGACAGACAACAGCAGTATCACATACGTGTGTGTGTGTGTGTTTGTATGTATGCACTACAGCTGCAGTCGATACATTTACTTTGTTGTTGTTGTTATTGTATGCGCACTGCCGCCTTCTAATTTAATTAAAGTTTATTTAATGTTTTCTCAAGGTTTCGCACGCCTCGTCGCCGCCGCCGCCGCCACCACCACCCAACCCCTAACCAGCACCAACATGCGAATTGTAATGTTTATGTATGTAAGTGCGAGTGTAGTGAGCCAAGCTAAACAAACCGCTTCTTATTCAGCGCTTCCATGCCATTTCATTTTCGATTTATAAGCTTCTCCATTTGCAATTGCATTACAGACGCTAACTCATAGCTTTCCCTAGTTGTTATTCTTTTTGCTATTATTGTTGTTGATTTTTTGTTGTTTTGTAGTTACAATGTCATAAAGCTGTGTGTTTCATTAAGGTTGGTTGCTCGCATACATACAGGCCCACATGTACATACATATGACTGCTTCAATTTTGTTCTGTGTATGATATGTGAGGTGTTGTTGTTGCTGGTGTTATGCATTGTTGCTACCTTTTGGCATGACAGTTGTTGCAAAAAAGTGTTGAAAATCAATAGTCTACAACAATAACGCATTTGTACTTACTGCCCCAACAGACTGATATCCGATACTGACGGTGGCAGCAGGCTGATGCAAACACACATACATACATAGAGGCATAGAGATCAGCGGCCAGCATCTCAGTGGCTATGATGATGAGTCTGGGTTTGAAGATGAGCCACGTGACACCAGCGGACAGACAGACAGACAGACAAACGGACGGACGGACGGACTGAAGTGCATATGGCATTATTCTTGAAACACATACAGATACAGACATACGAGTATGCATGTGCATAAGTATGTGGTGACAACTGTAATACATCACACGTCGCTCACTTAGTCCACTTTTTTATCTCTTGCCTACTGTGTTGCACATTATTGCAATTTCTTTATTATTCGCCACATTTTCCTATCTTTCCTTTGTTGTTGTTGTTGTGTGCTATGGTGTTTAACGTCGCAAAGGATTTTCTGTGCCACCAGCGTTTGTTGTAGTTGCTGCTGGTTGCCCTCTTTTCCAATTCCGTTTCCAATTATGCAGATTATAAATAAATAGACAAGCCCGAGATGGTGACTCGCTTGCTCGCTTGGTATGCATTTCTGGCAAATATACATTTGTACATCTGTATGTATGTATGTATGCATTTGCAAAGAAGTTCATAAACCGTCAAAGATATATTATTTTCCCCTTTTCTTGTTTATTTGATTCGCAAAGACCTTATATTTCACTCTATTTGCGAGCTAATGAATTTTTGAAGAGGCAAAAAGGACATTTCGTTTCTTTCGCTCGCCGAATCCACCAGCCGCTTGCAGGTGCATATGTGCATATGTGTGTAGCGAATAGCGATAAATATGCATAGAAAGGACTTGGCAAAGGCTGAAAAGGTTCGTGTGGAAGGAGGACTTAAAATATTGAATTTGAAAAGGATGTTGGTGGTTGCTAGAACTTTTTAAGTGGGGAAACCCTAAGGATCTCGAAAAACAAGCCACAATTCCCAGTTAGTTTTACTCAATTCTCAATTTGCCGTATTTTTTTTAATCCCCCAAAACACACTATAATATTTCAGGCAAACCGAATTAAAGCCTGAAAAAATGCTAAATTTAAATGCAAAACGCTTTCAATGCAGCGTTCAGTGATGCAGTGAGCGTGCAGTGAAAGTTCAAATGAAGGTTAAGTGGGGGAAAAAATCACCTCACTACATACATACATACATACACGTGAAAATGTCATAAAAGATTTATTGCCCACAGATTAAAGACAGATATGAGCACGAGGTCAACGCATTCAAAACGCTTAAGAGCCGAACGATAAGCTGAAGCGACATAATATTAGAAGATTTACTACAAAAAAAAAAGCCGAGTGACCTTCAGACAAGTGAAATGACAAGGTAAGTAGAGCCAAGTATGTGTATACTGCACAGTGGGCGCGGGTGTTGGAGAAAGGGAACTTCAATATTGCTTTTAAAAATATTCAAAAAAAAAAACATTATTGAAAATTTCAAAAAAAAATTTTGTAGCTTTTGAATGTGGGTTGATGTACTTATTTTAGCTGGTAACTTTGATATTATTACTGTGCGGGGAGCTACGATCTTCAAAACTTTATCAGTAGTTTGTAGAGGGACCTTCTAAATAATTATTTGTATATAAATAAGTAAGTGGGTTTAGGGACCTTTGCCTTCTCGACGACTATCTGAGTCTCTTACCAAAGAGTGCTGCAACTCTTGGCATTTCCTCTACAATTTCAGTATTTAACTTACCACGGAAGACAAATTAGATAGATAGAAGGAGAGATATTACTGCTGCGGTTGTATATAAGAGTAGTTCTGTCTGGTTCCTTAAAGGTATTACTTGCCCATTTGATTTTCTTTTTCCTTATTGATCTTACCTTTTGTTAAAAGATGTTGTTGTTGGAGCAGCTATCAAACACCATTTAGGAGCTTGCAAAATCAGTCGTTAGTCGTCAAGACCACCTAACGAGTGGTCCAGGAAACGAAATGTTTCGGCGAGTTCGGACCGGAGGTAGAGGGGTTTGGATGAGCTAGTTTTATAGCGTATACAATGAGGAGGGTTGCATATGGACATACCCCTGCGGGTTAGGGGCTCAAGAATTTACCCGCGGTAAGGCATACCTGTCGTAAGACGCGACTTAAACCCAATAGTTCCAGCGACAATCGGGTCTTTATACCAATCCCGCAACATTCCCCAAAAAGTACTATGGGGAATAATTTTGAGGTTACAACAACAACAGGAGGGTTGCATCGTGCGGTATTTATTGCATGCGAGAAATACGTTGGGTATATCGAGGTCTTACATGGATGGGTAGAAATTGGGTTAACCACATTGTGCAAGCCCTAACTGTACCAGTATCACCCACAGACTCTCTGTTTTTGGCATTTAAAGCCAATCGGTGTAATCCTGTCTGCCGGTTCAATTTCAAAATGTTGTGTGGAGTATTTCAGGTCAAGTACTTCCTTTGTGGTGGTTCTGCTTTCAGTAAGTATCGAGTGGTATAATGGTTGATGATCTTTAAAAAATTGCTTACCCGTTAGTCTACGTTCTACTTGTTAGGATGCAGTCATTGGCGCTGGGAAATCGGTTCTCTAGTTCGAACTTTTCGGTATCGGGTTTAATGTGGTAAGGCGGTAGGACTGTTGTACCTTTTGTAAAGCGAGGGCGATGTCTGCGATTTGTCCGATATCACTATTATTAAAACTTTTGTGTAAAGTACCACCTGTCGATTGTTTTTTCTCTTTTAATAATCCATCAAGCATTTATGAGTCATAAAAAGAGCTCGCTGTGCATTAGTCATAGTCGCTCTAAAATCGAGTTTAATCAGTTTCGCTGGCATGAAGAACATGTCGGACAACAAAGGCTTTTTAATACTGATTGATTTTATCTATAATGGTTTTGGTTTTTCTGCATATATATGTATATATGACTATGCTTATGTACGAGTATTTGAAAAAAAAAAACATATTCTCATACAAATGAGGAAAAAACTCGCATATGGACATGCGCTTGCAATTACAATTAAGCATTTAAAAAAATCTACGGCAGCGGTAATTCTCTGTAATTAAGATTAAGCTGATAAGAGCGAACCGGCAGCGAGCGAATTAATCAAAGCTTCTGTCGGGCGAATGTGTCTCGGAAGCTTGGCTACTGAAAGTTGCTCGCTGTCTACGAGTTCACTTGTCGCGCTGTGGACGAGGCCGGTAGACTTGGCGGCTCGCTGCTAGCAGTTGCCGTCCCCAGTTAAATGATAAATAATATTAAATAATTTATTTAAACAATTCAATTGAAATTTCAGCATGTTATAAGACTTGTTTGCATTCACAATGCGTGCTGACACAATTGCAATTATCATCAAGTTAAAAACAAATAAATGAAATAAGGAAGAATACATATGTATATATGTACATATGTACATATATAACAAAACGTAGTATATTTACGTAAATGTAAAAACAATTAATGCAAAACAGCAACAATCTTTCTCGTGTATTTAGCCACAAAGTCAATGAACTGATAACGTGAATTCACACATTCACACGCACCCTCGCGTACTGGCTTTCTGTTTCTGGTCTGATCTGTATACTGTTGGCATTGCGTATTATCTTAAAAATATATACAAATATTAAATATTTGAGCAAAAATGGAATACGGATTGTAAATGTGCATATGTACGTCCGTATGTAGGTATGTATGTATGTAGCAACATTAAATTTATTTGCTTTGATTGCTACTTTTGTTGGTGGGCGGTTGTCAGAGTATTCGAGGGGCTCAATTAGCAATTATGTACTTAGTAACTAGAAATTACACCCGCTTGTCTCAGCCGTCACAGAATAATGAGAAAGTCACTAGAGATAAAACTATTTCCGCAAATATTTATTGAACAGCTGGCGATAGTTGTAGCGTTCCTAAAACCATTTGTATGTGGCTTGCCTTGAAAGTAAATTTCCCCATTCGTCGTCTGTAAGAGCTTCAGTACATTATTTCTTAGTTTTCTACGAAATCGAGAGTTGAGACAAATATGACAAGCGTTTCCGTCACTACAATGAGTTTGCCACAGATGTCTGTAAGTGCGGGTGCCTAGCTAATCACTAAAAAAAAAAGGACTCTTCCCCAAGGAACCGCTCTTGCATTACTTCAAGCTGACGTTCCATCTCAGCATCTGAGTCCAGCCGTTGGCTTTGTCTGAACCTAATTTCAGTGTCATTTTCTGCTGTATATCCGCGGCATTCATCTTTGCTGGCCTTTTGTTGATGTTGTTGTGGTTGTAACGGCTTTATCAACCACGCTTACGGACAGGCTAGTTAAAACAAGTTACCGAGGTTATCTGATGGGAGGTCCAGGAAACGAGCAGGGGTTAGGTTCGACTCCGAAGACGCCATCCACAGGGAGAGCGTTCTTCAAGGTTCTGACTGGCTTTTATTGAATGGAGTTAGGTCTCTGTGGAAGCATCCCAGCAGAAATAGCTTGCACGGCAAAGCAAAGGAGCATTCCTTAACATCAGAGAGTTTCCTGTCGCCGTCCTGAATGCGGTGTTTTGCCAGTAACTTCTCCAACAGCGTCTAGTTTGTCACCGGTGCCCTGATGAGTGGAGAGTAGTTTACGTCCTATTCACATCAAATTCGAGTCTGTACTCCTTCGACCGACCAGCCGGTTGTTGTTGTTGTAGCGGTTCGCTAAGCCCGCTTAGGCACAAGTTTGTTCAGTCTAAGTCGCCGAGGTCATCTAGTGGTAGGTCCAGGAAACGAGCTGTTTTGACGGGGTTGGACCAAAGGGAGAGAGGGTTAGATGAGTGGGTTTGAGGGGGCATGTAAAGAGGTGGTTAGTGTCGTGCGGGGACTCTCCACATGCAGGGCATACGTTAGGTATGCTGGGATCTAGTCTGGATAGGTAGGAGTTTAATCTGCTACAATATCCAAACCTGAGTTATGTCAGGGTCACGCGGGTCTCTCGAGGCAGCTCTGGCTCGTTGTCTGCTATGGGTGGTGGTATTTCTCCGAGTACGCCATTCACTAGAAGGGAGTCCATGAAGGTGTTGACTGACTCCTGGTGAACGGCGTTCAGTGCTTGTCGGTACGCCGTCCTGTCCAGCGGTAGTTGTGTGTGTTGCTGGATTGTGCGGTAGCATCCCAATAGGAACTGCATTATGCTCCTTAACTCGTAGCATAGGTGCTTCCCTGTGCAAGTGATGCTCCGGCGACATCAGGAGGTTTCCTGTCGCGGTCCTGGGGGCGGTGTTTTGGCAAGCCTGTAGCTTCTTCATCTGCGTCTCGTTCGTACAGACCAGCCGGTGAAAAGGGATGCCGTTTCAAATATCTTGCAGTGAAGAAGAGGAAAAATGCATTTCCAAGGAACCGCTGGCAGAACTGGAAACACTTTTGCATTACTTCAAGGTGACGCTCCATTTCCCACTGCATAATTTACATCTCAGCATCTGAGTCCAGGTACTTTTTTTAATATGTACATTCGCCATGCCTTAGCCGGCAACACAATTTCAATGTAATTTTCTGCCGTATCTAAGCAGCATTCATCTTTGCCAGTATTTTGCTGCTTTTGCTTCCACTTACTTTTCATCCATTTAACAGTCGAATCATTTTTTTTTAATGTGTTACATCGTTGGAATTATTATCCTCCCTTCGCTGATTTTTTTTGTTGATTATTACTAGTATTAGACTTATCGAACAGATTTCTGGTTCATTTGAAAGGACGCTCGCGACGGTCGCCAAAGTTGTTTTTGTTTTTCTTGTTGTGATGACTAGCAGCAGACATAAATCGTTGGACGGCTGAGTTGCCCGGTTGTCATCGTTTCGCCCGCTAAAATTATCATTCAAATTAAACCACCACGTGCGGAATGAGAGAATGGAAAGCCAACATGAAGTAAAATGTATAAGATAACGGTTCTTTTACATAACAGCCGACGAGTCAACCAAATCATAGCACTCCAACTAAATGAAGTTATTATTCCTTATTACCACTCACGAGTGACCCTTTCGTCAGTAAGGGGAAATGTTTTCTTTATTCACTCTACATTGGAAAAATGTGTGTGTCTGGCCGATGGCAATGCATAACAAGAAATCGTTTGCGCACCAAACAAAAACATATATAAGTATGTGGATATCCGCACACACATATGTATGTATATGTTTATGGTGCAAAACAAATCAGAAGCAGCAGAATTTAGAAAAGAAAAACAACACTTTGGACAAACTAAAGAATGTGGAGATGATGATTGAGAAATCAATAAAGCAAATAACATCGATTCACCCATGGCAGAGAACGTAAATATAACGTTCTCTGCCCATGGAAATGCAAAATAACGTGCGATAAATATCGAAATGAAAAATAAGGCAAAAAGACACGAATTATGCCAATCCTAATCTCTATATGTATGTATGAATTTACGTGCTTGAGTATGGCAAACAATTTTAGGAGATAACAGAATAAGAAAACAAAATATTCGGCGCTAAAAATTTGGACGAGTGAATCAGAAATCGGAAAGGCGAATATGAAGGAATATGTTTTCGTTTTTCTTGGTCTACGTGGGTAAGTGGTTGATATGATACATGGAAAATATATGTAAATGAAAAGAAAAATTACATTGTATGGCATAAATGTGTGTATGGAAAATGCATAAACAGCACCAAAGAAAATGTTTATTATGCCCGGTGTATGTACATACTAGTGGGCATCAGCAGGACAGCGCACGCAAAAACAGCAGAGGCAGCAAAATTACTTGTAGTGGTGACTGTTGGTTGGCACTTTTGTGGCTGAATTAGAGGCAAATTTCGTTGAAATGAGGGCAATTGGCAAGACGCCAACTAAGCGACGAAACAATCGGCAAAAAAGTAAGAGCAGGCGGTCATAGCACAAAAGCAATATTTATGTATCTCAGCATGTACATACATATATACATAGATTTCAACAGTCAAAAAAATATATATTATATTTAACTGTTCAAAGTATGGCACGGCTATGACATATACAACAATTTGTGAATATGTATGTACAATACGTGTATGTGCCATGGCAGATGCACCCACAACGATCACCAAAGCGACGGCTGACGTGCTTGCCAAGTGATGGGCACTGTTGACATGGGGACGACAGTTTTGGAGTGGATTTAGTCATGGGGTAAAATGGTTTAAGGCAGAAAATCACTATGATTGACTATGATTTTGTTCAAGCTGGTATTTGAAAGTATGGTGTGGCAATCTACAGATATTCCGTATTAAGCTAACCATTATTTGTTGCTAAAAGTAAGGAAAAATATTAAAACTCATTCGTCAGATTAATTCGTATGTCATACACTTACCCCATTAACCAATCGACGGTGTCCCGCAAATATTCCGGTATACGCTCCAGTTTGACGGCTGTTCGGCGCTTTTAGTTCAGGAAACCTTGTAGATTTAACACCAATTAAATTGGGAATTTTCCAAACTAAAGTTTTTGTTACTTATTGCTTTCCGAACATGCACTTGTTACCAAATGAATCTGTGTTCAAACTCCTCAGACTGGCAAGTTGTGTTCAAACAAACATCACTATGGTCTAATTGGACCAATAATTCATTTGAGGGATGATGGGAGATTTGAAACTACCTCCACGGGCATTGAGTAACAGAGACACCAGCAGAGTTTTGACCTGAGCCACCGTTAGATAGCCTGGTCGTGGAACAACGAAAACAATCACGCACACTCTTTTTCCTCACTTTATCGGGCACTCATTTGCAAGAATCTATTATTTTTTCCCACTTGCTTTCTAAACATAAATAAAATATTGAATAACCGAAACAAAATAAATTGTGAAACACTTTTTTCACTTTATCGGTTACTGCAACCACTTTCCTGTTTGTGTCACATTCACCACTTTTTTCTTCCCTCAGTTTATTGCTGATTTTGCTTCGCAACTCTTTTCGACACTTTTTGACAATTTTTCTTCGTCGCAGATTATATTCGAAATTCGTTTTGCAGAAGATACCAAATCAGATACCATGAAAAAGAATGAGATGACTATAAAAGACGTAAGTCGAGATAAATGTAAACTTTATTGCACTACCAAACTGTAAAAAAAACAAAAACAATCAGAGTCTACATCAGCCGTCTTAGGCATGTACGAGAAAGGGAAAGCACTATATTTTTTATCGAAATCGAGTTTATTTTGTGTGTTCATTCTAACCAGCGGCGAGAAAGCGAGGTCAAATGTAAATCGGGAACAGCTGATTATGTGAAAATTTTTCTGTGTTTTACAAATATGTAAATATACAATGCTTGAATGCAGAAAACATAAACGTTTTATCAACTTTTGATGCGATTTCTTTGTTCACTGCCGCGCAATTTTTTGGTAGCTATTTTTAGGCGACGACAATTGTGCCCGAATGCACACATATACACCAAAAAATTTTCTTGCCAAAAATGATCCAATAGAGTTAAAGGAAGCAAATGCACTACTTTCTTGAATCTCAATTGTTTTACCGTTTTGTTTTCCAACTGGAAATAAAGATTTGTGCGAAACTACAATTTATGAAAATCTTATTTCTTCGTCCTTCAGCGCATCCTTTTCTTCTTTTTGTCCAGCATATCAGATACTATTGCGCATTGCTTTTCAACACACTTTCCATAAGTTATATAAATAATACAAGAACTACATGCTTCAAAAACAAACACGGTATTTATGGTTTTGACGCACACTGATTTCCATTTGTTTGCATTATTTTTGCACACAGTCTTAATTCACTATTTAGGATTTTTATGCTTATCGGCGTCACCAATAATTGCCTTCAAGAGTTTTTGCAGAAATTGGCAAAACCAGAGCAAAACAACAACCGATAAGACGGAGACAACAAATGGCAATAGATTACGAACTTAGAGCTGCCACACATCAGTAATGAAAAGAACAGGGTGTCAGAAACGCACTGAATACGGTAATGATCAAGTCAGATTTATCGACAACACAGAGGCAAAGAATATTTATGAATAAAAAATAGGCAAAAATTGTGTTTTTCATTTGCAAAGAATTTAAATTTCTTGATTAAATCACAAATCCAGCATAAGATTGATGTCTTTTACTTCATGCAAAAATTTTTTGTCTTCAAGAGTACGGCAGCACTTTATTCTTTTTCGCAACAGCTGGTTTTGACATTTCTGTTTGCACATTATAGAAAAATGTGAAAACAACATCGCAATTTGTGAAACTACTAGAACTAAATAACTTCAACCGGAATCGTTCATTACATAAAATGGTAAATAATATAATTCATGTATTTATTTTATAATTAATTCAAATTTGTAATTAACCGCATAAACTTCTTCCTTTTAGGCAAGTTCTTTAATTGTCGCCGGCATTGGCTTGGCTGCCGTGGGCTTCGCTGGAAAACATCTCATGCGTCGAATGCCGGCCATGGCCACTAAATTAAATGAGACCATGAAAAATTTACCAAAATTTGATGCAGAATCTTTAGCAAACTCAAAATACTACAAAGGTGGCTTTGACCCAAAAATGAATAAACGTGAAGCGTCGCTTATCTTGGGTGTCAGTCCTAGTGCTTCTAAGCTAAAGGTGAGTTGAATATAGCTGCACAAAGTTTTTATTAGTTATACTATGTTTTGTATATACATTTTTTTCAAATAGATAAAGGATGCGCATAAAAAGATCATGCTGCTTAATCATCCCGATCGAGGGGGATCTCCCTATTTGGCAGCGAAAATAAACGAAGCTAAAGATTTTATGGACAATGGAAAATAATTAAAGTAATTTGTGGTGTAGCATAAAGTAGAAATTAAATATTAGTATCTATAATGAAAAAATCCTATTGTTTAAAAATCCAAGAAGCGATTGATTTATGTAAAATAAAAAACAAATCCCTAATCGCAATGAAAATGTACTAGTTTTAGTTACTCCTTAATAAGGTCTTCTGAACTCTGCAAAAAAAAAAATAATAATTAAAAATAATTATGGTTGTAACGTTCAAATTTATTAACTGTTTACTTATCTCATTGAAATATTTTCTAGCACATAAATTCCCCTACTGCGGGTAATTTTGTATGCGTTGGCAATACTGCCGGTCCCAACTTTCTCCATAGCAAAATTTTCTGTTGACGTCAAATGTCAAAAACGTACGACAAGTGGTTGGAGCAGCAGTTCTCACAGCAGCAAGTGCTTTTCGTTTTGTTTAACTTCCTCCCATAATTACCCACCAATTTTAGTAGTAAGCTTATGGCAATATAAATCAAACAAACTTTTTTGATATGAATTCTAAATAAACATTTTTCACTGCAGAATCCTTAAAGACAAGCCAACGAAATGCGCCAACTACGTGGTAAAGTGAAAGAGACACGCAAACAGAAGAAGGAGCGTAAAATGGAAAATTTGGCTATACAAAATCAATTAAAAACCATTGTAATCCCTTCAGTTTGTGTATTGGCATTGATAATTATTGTTTTTGTATATTTCAAAACGAGACCAGTGGCAGTTGAAGTGTAACCGGAATGTTGTGTTTCGAAAACCATGTCCAGCAATGTGCGCCTTTCTAGGCGTTATTAGTATAAACTACCAAGTGGCAGGAAAGAATTTTGTAAAGTTACTTGTGACTGGAACACAGGCTGTGTACATTCAGTTGTTTGTATGATGAACGTGTTTTTACTGTCACAGGACATAATTAGTAGCTGAAAATATATAATATATATGTATATGTACACTGCGCTCAATTGGAATGTGCGAAATCTAATCCTTTTATAATTGAAATTATACATATGTACATACATATGTATATAAAAAAAAAATATATTTTTTGTAGATAATAGCGCCCATACTACAACTTGTATGGCATGTCTCTTGCATTTCTAGAAAATTATACTTACTATACTATATACATATGTACATAAACATGTATGTATGAATCAGTTGTTTGTAAAAATTATAAACTGCTGTGCAAATATTGAACTGACTATTTTTTCAACAGTCACTTTCCTCTTATGTTATTTTATAGCAGAACATTTTAAACACATCTTTATATGTGTGTTAAAATTGTTATTAACTTATTTACTTATATAATGAATAAATATAGTTTGTTTTTTTAATATTGACAATTATTGCATTTTAATTCTCGAAAATGGAAAAGGTCTACATACATACATATGTATATGTATATCTAAACCGCTGTCTTCAATGCTAGAAAATTCTAACACGCCACGTATGTTTTTGATTAGCAAATGCTAAGCTGCTTTTGTTTATTTTTTATACATTAGCTGTAGTGTTGGCTACACCAATACCTTGATTAATGTACTAGCTGATAACGGTGACGATCGACATATTTACAACTGCAGTTCAAAGTAATGTATTACCCTCAAGAATGTGGTGTCTTAAGGAGAAAACATATATTTTTCCGAGTTCTTTTAATGAAACCCATTTTTTAATACTTTTATACATTTATTTAATTTTTGTTTCACATCTTTTATTCTACATATTCATCACATTCTCTTCTACTCCTCATAAGTTTCTGTTACACATTCAAATGCTAAATATATGTATGTATGTATGTATTTTTACATAATAATTTGTGTATTTATAAATTAAAGAAGTCGTATTAATGGCTGTATTTAGTTATACATATAGTATGTGTGTATGTATATAAATATATATATAATATGTACCACATAATTTTAAAGGGTTCATAACTACATATTTTTCAATCTATAACTAATTTTACTTGCTTTTTAAATGCATTTTTTATTTATTGCTAATTAATGAATATTAAAGCACGAAGAAAGTAATTAAACATATGTATGTATACATATATTTTCAATTAAAACTTAACAAAAAAATCTGAAGAAAGTAAGAAACACATTAAAATGTTGAAGGCTCCAGCTTAAGCCATGAGCAGCCTAAAACTATGCTTCATAAATCATTGAAATTTTGCTAGTGCACGGCTGAAAATTTTCGAGTGGTTTAAAAATGTGCTAACATTTTTGAATTTTGAAAATAATTGTGAGAAAATTTTGGCATAATTAAAAAGTAATATAAATTTTGTTTAAAACACATAATTATAAATAATAACATCAAATAATGAACATTTGTTTCGCTATAAAATTCTAAAGCTAAATTTTGATTGCCTTTAATTAACTTTGACATACATTTATATACATATATGTCTATGCATCAACAACACGTATACACACATTGCTGCCAACAGGTAGATATGTTTTTTTACGAAAATTAATTTATTGAAAAAAATTAAGTCGGAAAAATTATTTTTGTAAACTTTTTAAAGTTTGAACAATTTTTGTTGTGCATAAAAAATATTTGTTTTACGAATAAATTAAGCTTCAGAAATATTAAAAAAAAAATATAAATTAAAAGAAAAATTTTTGAAAATAGAAACAGATTTTCTTGTAATTTCATTTGCGAAAAATATACAAAAATGTTAAATTGTAAAAAAGCGCAATCATTTTTGAAAAAATTTTAAATCTGACTGTTTGCATTTATTCATAAAAAGTAAAAAAAAAATTCGAAAAAAGAAGTTTAAAAGCAAGAGAGACGCAAATTAGTTTTACGTTAAGCCCTTATAATTTCCAATTTCACAAAAGCCGTAATGAAAAACAAACTTCATAAAATAATCAAAAACAAAAGCTTATGCGTATTTATTTTTAATTGCATTCTTTTGTTTTATTTAATATTTTTTAAGGAAAATATTTTTTTTTTTGACATACAAGAAGTTGGGATTTTTATTGGAAAATTTTAGTAAAAATTGTGCTATACTCAGATTTTTTAAAGAGAACTTACAATTTCAGGGATTACAAAAGTCCGGCATTTTAAAATAGAATGGAATTGTTTTTTTTTTAATGTTTATTTATATTTTGTTATTTAGTCTCAATAAAAATACGTATGTATGTTCATATATTATTTTTATACACCCTTTTTATGCTAATACTTCCCTAAAGTGCCATAAAGCTTAATTAATTTTAATGTTAATTTATTATTTTATTTTTCTTTAATATTAGTCCATTTTTCTTGCACACAATTTCAAAAAGGAATTTTTCCCAATTTTTTTTTTTCAATTCAAAGTATATCTATTTTTATTAGAAAATATATTTTTACACAAATAATTTATTATTATTTTTAAGCTTATGCCATAAATATGTTAAGATGCTATAAACATTTTTCCAAATACATACGTCACACAAGCAACAATACATAATAATTAGCAAATACATAAATAGTAAGTAGTTCAAATATAATACAGAAATTGCGTTTAAATATCGCAAGTTTTACAAAAAAAAAAAAACACTGTAAAAAAGGGATGTAAAACAAAATATTAAATATAAATATTTCAAAAAATTCCAACTCATACGCACAATTATTGGCAGTCACACAATTTCAATGCAGTATATATAATTATTTCACGTGTCACACTTACATACATACACAATTTTTTATAATTATTTCTTAACTTTTTTCAATTGTTGGTACATAAGTATTAATTTTAATTTATTCATTAACATTATTTTTCTTTTTCGCTTACTAGCTAATGAACTTTTTTATAACTGTTATCTGGTTTACGTATATATGTAAAATGATTCGTTTCGCTTAAAGTTGAATTTATCATATTGTTTTTAGTTTCTAAATGCTAAATGCAATCGTTTTTTTTTTGTTCTTACAAAATTTGTTGTGCATAAATTAGCAAAAAGTTTTTATTTTTATTATATAATACAAGTGGTTTCATAGAGCTGCGCCTAAAAGTAGACTATCGTTTAGCAGCCGCTAGCTAGCCGATGGCGTTTGAAAGTAGTTGTTCAAGAATTAAAATATGTTAAAGCTCCTAAAAGTATGTTACATTATGACATAAAACGTTCAAAAAGCAGCTGCAAGTCAGAAAAGCGTCCATTGCCGCTTAACCACTAGACAAACAATTTTGAATTGAAATGAGAGGAAAAGAAACAACAAATCTTCGACCATTTCCTACGCCATTCACTTTCCCCAAGATCCTAAGCAACAGCAACAACAACAACAAATCACAGCATATCGACAACAACGCCGCCAAACCACGCCATATACAGCGGCAGCAGATACATCAATAGCGCACGCCGTAATGTCATTTTAGACGCCGTCTTTGCGCCCGCATTTTCACCGCCAACCTTCTCCTCATCCAGATCATTATCATCAGCATCGTCCTCTTCCTCATCGATCGTGTTCGTATCACCGCCAGCAGCGACACCCGCACCTGCACCCGCGCCAGTACTGCCCGGATATTTAGGACGTGTTGTATGTGATGTGTCTGTAATGCGACGCTCTTCCACATCTTCCTCATCCTCGTCATCAATATTATTTGCTGGCACCGAGCCGGGTCGATCGGTGGGTTTGAGATGTGGCGGCGTGAATGGACCGCCGCTAAGGCCGGAGCCCTCATCATCGTCTTCGTCGTCGCTTCCGGCACCAGAGCCTGCTCCGCTACCGTATATGGAGTCTTCTGAAACAAAGGATGGAAATGAGTTGCTGCACCAGGTGGTACGTAATGTTTTGTCCCAATTGCCTTACCGTGATCACTCCAGTCGACGTCCTGACCGTTATAGGCATTACGCAGATGATTTATGACATTTTTCAGGTAGAAAAGTTGTGTGGCAACTTGCGATGTCTGGCGTGTAGACGCTGGATTGCCGGGGAACTCGGGATTACGGCTTTGCTCGTTGGTCACAGGGTGCATGTACCTGCGTGTAAGAGGACGAACATAGAATATTGATTAAAACTAACTTTCCCCACTGGGCACTCACCTATCGATAGTGTGTCCATTCCAGCACATGCCATCCACATCCGACGAGGTTGAAATCTCCTCATTACTGCAGATCTGATGAGGCAAGTTTGACCAGAACTTCTTCGACTCCTTCACACGCTGTCTAATCTCACGCACCAACTTATCCAGATTAGGATCGCGGTTATTGTCGTCGTCATTTTTGCGATTCTGCTGTTGCTTGCGACGCTGTTGATTGCCACGACCGCCAGCACCACCACCACCACTACGCCCATTCCCGTTAGTGCTACTGCCGCCGCCTACCTCACCACTCGTCTTATCAGCATCCGCATTCTGCTCTTCAGAGATAGGCTCTGCTGCGCGTCGTTCACGCAAGACGATGGCATCGCCCACATCCGCATCGATGTCTAATATGTCCGATTCGATTTGCTCCACCGGAACATCCAAGATGGCTCGTTTGCGTATCACTTTCGAGTCGGAGCTCGTCAGCACCACCGATGAGGGTTGAGTTTGATAGGTTGTGATGGGTTGACTGAATCTCGGGCTAATAGCGCGACGTGTGCGACCGAGCGTGGGACGTCCACAGCCTTCAAACACGCGTGAGGTGATGGATTGGCCGGATTCCTGAAAGTGGACGAAGGTGGAAAAAACGTTTACAAACTGTAATGATTTATTAATATTTATGTGAAATCTAAACACGAAAATTCTGAGAATTTGAAATTTTACATTTCACATATTTTGTTTCTGCAAAGAATTGAAAAGCCACAGCAACAACACGGCAAACCACAGCCGCGTCAATGGTTTGCTGCAGACATACCAGGCGGGCGGGCGAAAAATGTGTGTGAGTACGTAATGGTCACGTGGAAAGAAAGACATTGTAGGTATGTATGTGTATATGTATGTTTGTATTTATGCATTTGTAGGTGACATCCCTCATAATTCACCTACTTTTCGATTGAAAGGAATATGTACATAGAAATATATGGAGATTGTAAAAACTCATTAGCAACAAATGAGCTGCAACAGGAGTGAAGAATTTACTCAAGTGAACAATGGAAAGTGATAAGCAGATAAAGCAGAAGTAAGATGAGCACAACAAGGCAGGCCCTACACCCTACACCCTACCAAACAAGCGCTACACCCAAGCCCACCTATCCGGCGATAGATTGCCACAAGAAGACAATTACTTGGCGAATATGAGTCAGTTTCCCACTTAGCTGGATGCTCAGACCTGATATCTAATCGCTAGCGTCTTCTTATCTCAAACCTCAGACCGCACACTGCAATCATATCTCACGGTAGGCGCACACAAACATAATTTTATACGCGTGTTAGCGACAATGTTGCTTGGTTGTTTGCAGTGAGTCAACTGCATTATTGTGGTTTTACGTGCGAGGTGTGTACTACGCAAAGCAAGACTGTATAAACGAAAAAAAAATTTTCCTCGAATCTTTTATAAAAACAGTTTTTTATCAGCAGCAAATGAGGCTCATCACCTTTTGTTTCATTTAAACGAAGGATTTTGCATAGTCTCGTTTTCCGTGGGACAAGCTTTGTATGCTATAGCGTCTCAATAAAACCTATATTTTCCATCTTGATATCTTTCAGGTTGACTTGCGCAATCTACATATATGTATGTACACAAATAAACAGATGAATGGGTGATACCTTAACACTTACACCGACATGTCATACATACTTGTTTGCGTATTCGATGATAAATTTAATATACATTTACATACTTACATATATACATACGTATGCACCTACTAAATTGTTGAAAGTGAAAACTCTTGACAATTTTATCGCTATCAATTGCAGGAAATCAGATAAAAATGCATACATACATACACACACACACACAAACTCAATGGTTACAAAAGAGTTTAACAATGTCTATTTATATGTAAGTACATAGGTACATGCGTATGTTTGTCAGCTCATTGAATTATGAGCAGTGAAATGCGGTTACAACTTCATTTGCTTGAATTACAAATATAACAGCCAAGCGATATCGGTTAAGTCGCTTCAAATTGTCGGAAAAAAACTTTTCGACGACTTTATTTTATTATTTTGTTATACAAATGCGTTTGCGGTGGGCGTGTAAAATGAATAATTTTATGAGTTTGGTTAACGTGATGTCGGCATTGGCAACTAAACCATACTAATTCCCATTGTATGCCGGGATGTCGGAAATTTTGAGATCTCGTCAGACTTGCAAATGAAGGAAGATTTCTTTTCTAACTCATTTCGTATTATTTTATTGAATATTCAATTTTTATCAAATTTAATTTCTATTATATTTTACTTTAAGTTTTTTTTATATAATCATATCCGATTTAATTCATTGAGTTTTTTTAAATTTTTTTTTTATTTCATATTATAAGAAAGGGCTTTACTAGTATTAGTCCGCGGCGCGTTCAACTGTGACGATATTCATTTCAAAGGTATTGCCATTTCGCGTCGTTTTCAGTAGATGCCAATTGCGGGGGGCTCTTCTTCATTACTTTGACAAGAAGAAAAGTGCTACCGAAAGCCATCGTATTTTACTAAACCATTATGGTGACCATGCTTTAGCCGAACAAAGGCGCCAAAAGTGGTTTGCACGGTTTAAAAGTGGCAGTTTCGACTTAGGCGACGGACAGCCAAAAAAAAATGTCAAGCCGAAGAATTGGAGACATTGCTCGAAGCAGATGCATGCCAGACGCAAGAAGAACTTGCAAAAGTATTAGGAGTTGATCAAGCAACCAGCCGTTCCAGACAATTAAAATCATTTTTTCACAATAAAAGTCTTAATTTTCAAAAAAAAAAACGCTCGAATTAATGCATACAACCTTCATTAATTAATTTTCTTCTATTTTAATATATTTCAATTTATTTCATTTTTTATTTTATCTAATTTTTTAAATTGTAATTTTTTATTTTCTTGTATTTTAATTTATTTAATTTAATTTTAGTTAATTAATTTTTTATTTTATTTGCTTTTAAAATTGTTTTTTTTGCTTTTAAAACTTATTTTATTTTAGTTTATAACATATATTATTATTTAATTTATAATATATTATATTATTTTTTTATTTTATAACTTTTTTATTTAATTTTCTGCTCTCTAAACAGCAGAAAGCAAAGAATCAACGCATATTTGATTCCATTCAGAGGATTTAGCCATGTAAATCAGTTGAGTGGGCAGCTGCACTCATCTGTTTTCTCAATCCCAATTAATTTAAATTTAAGAGAAAATAAGCAATGAAATTACATTTTCTTTGAAGCATTGATTTATTGAGGCTTTCAGCAGGTTACTCAAGGTCAATTAAACAAGAGCTATATGAAATTGGTATAGCGATCGCAATTTATCGGCAATAAATTATTAGACTCTCTTTGATTTCTGCACTTAAATGACGCAAAACTAAATGTTTAATAACAGTCGGTTTAGTTTTCCCAAAAATTTGTGTTATTTTGGAAAAAGCAGCATGCAATTCTTATGCGCGAATATCGCAGACAACCCACTTTCCGCCAGAAAGCAATAAAAAAGTGCGAATACGAAGAAAAGTAAACACAAACTTTCAGCGAAATAAATTATGTCCAACGTACAATATTTTCGTATCGAAAAAAGCTGAGCTGTCGAATTGCGGAAAACACCTTGCGCCCAAACACTTCTGACTCTCTCCAATAATCTATATTTGTATTTGCCCAAAATTGCGCACAAATCACTGGAGTATCAAAAGAAAAGCCGAAAAGTATTGCTTGATCAAAGCGAAGGTGTGAAAGGTGAAAAGGAAAAATAAATGTCGAAGAAAAATTGCGTGGAAATTTAATGGGCGAGCGGTGAATGTTTGTACTAAAGCGCCGCGGGCTGTAAATTTTCACCAAGAACTGACACAAGTGGAATGTAAATTTAATTACAACAAATAAACAAACAATCAAAGTGAAAACATAAATATAATAAACTGCGATAAAAGCAAATAAACAAGCGAGATTAATTTGAAATTAATAAAAATAATTAAAAGCGTACAAACGCAACCAGCCAATATGGCAACTTCTGCCAAAGGCCAGCTGATCGTTCGGTCGGTGGGTAAAGTGTGGCTTTGCAATAAATTTTGTGAAACTTGATTGCGGCGACTGAAGAATTTTAATTAGCAGTTGTAGTGTAAACAATTCGTATCAGTTTGCATGGAATTAGCAAAAAGTGAAGCAAACAAATGAAATGAAATAAAAGAAATAAAAAGAAAAAAAAAACATGAATGATTAAATCGCTGGCTAAATATGGTGTATGATGCTGCTGGTGAATAGCTGCCGACCATACGGAGGCGTAATAGCAAACGTGCAATAAATTTTATTCTTAATTAAACAAAAATCGAAAAGTTTTAGTACTAAATTTATTCATACACATTTCCGTAACAGCAGTGGAACTAAGTAAGAAAATTGAAATTCCCGTCATTAGCAAATAGCGAGCACGGCATTGATTCTTGAATGAGATGATGACCGAGGAAGCGTTTACACTTTGCCACAGTTTAGTTAGGGAGCATGCAATAACCACGCAGCGGGGTCAGGATTGGGAAGGGATTGGTCTAAATGTTACGCTACACCCAAGAAACTGGGAAGAGAAGGCCAGAGCAAAGTTACTTAGTTTTCTTCAGAAGGAAGAATAAAATATTTATCGCAAGTTGATAAGTTGTGCTTAATAAACAATTAATCACAGTTGTTTTTGTTAGAAAAGGAAAGGATGTGAGAAACAAAACCACGTTCCATCCGGCAGGCAAGGCAAAAGGCCTTTTTAGACTGCACGAAGGGAGTGAGGGGTATCGAAACCCCTAAAATGTGGTTTATGGACAATTCTTCAACGATTTGTGCTAATCGCAAAATAAGTAGTTTAAATGCGAAACGAAGTAATTTCCAAAAATAAAATCAGGTTGGAAAAAAGCAATTTACAACTTTCCAATTGGTCAAATATTAAATTCAATAAATTATTCATCACACTCGTGAAACTCACTACTTTTTATGGCTGATAAAAATTCATTAAGCTAAAATAGTGAATAGTTAAATTAGTTAAATTAATAATGTGCTATAAAAATCAAAGCCTAAAATTTGTCAACTCCTTTAAATGTTTATGGATTTATATGACGCACTTAAAATGCGCAAAACTAGGCATAATCCTACACTTTATTTAGTTTTCAAAAAAATATATGTATCAATTTACAAAAAGACGACTTTTATAGGCTTTCAATACTAACGATTTGACTTAATTAAAATTTTACGACATTTTTGAGTGAATTTCATTGCAGTGAACGTTGCATCTTTCAAAGGTATAAATGAATATAAATAATATTTGTATAACCAATATTAACAAAGGCATGTCCATACACGAATAACGATTCTCAAATAAAACAAAATAAAAACTAAAATGGAATTCCCAAACAGTTCATTTAACTTACCTGAAAATTCATGATCGCTTCGGAGATTTTTATATTAATCGGCTCGACAACCATAACAATATTGAAAGAGCCCAGCAAGCGTTCGGCTACTTTGTCCATGGCAGCGGCGAAATTCTCCCATTCCGTATCGAATTCGTTCACATAGTGTAGACAACCTTTGATTACGTTGACGCAGTAATTCGTGCAAGGTTTCTCCGCATAACCTTTGCAGGCGCCACAGTGTTGCATTTTCGTTAGGGCCGCTGTGCAGTCGGCGTTGAGGTGGATCTTGGTTGAAAAACGAAAAATAAAGTTAATCGTACTTCAAAAAAAAAAACAAATAAAACTCTGCAAAGTTACACGAAATGGCAGAAAATCATTGAGTAGATTGAGCATAATTTTAGGCGCTTAGCAGTGTGCGCAAGTGCTTTACGAGTGTCGCTAGAGATGCGTTGCAAATTCAAATGTGGTGAGAGCAGTCTTCGAGCAAGTTACTTACATTTATAATCTTTTTCGACACTTCAGCTGCCGTGTGTAACGCCTGCCAATAGGTTCGCGTCGCTACAAACGAACGTTTGATTTGCACGGCCAGCTTATCGGGCACATCGCCGAAGGGTTTTAGTTCTTTCATATGCTCGCTGACGCAATTGAGGAATCTGGAATAAAAGAAGAATAGTCATTTTAAAATGGAAGATCAGTAAGAAGGCAAAAATCGCAATTATGCGATCGATAAAAGCTTATAGCATAAATAAGTTGTGTTCCGGGAAAGACTTTTTCTTGAAAAGTTTGGAAAGAAACCCTTCGCCCCGATCACCAGGGAATGCAACTCTCCCGAGTGAATTTTTGGTATGAAATAAAATGTTCCTCATAAAAAATCAGCAGTGGTTCAGAGGCGACTTAATGTAAACTGTTCCCTCTGTCTCTGTCACCATCGGTCAAATCAAATTGATTTCGAGTCCTGCACAGTTCTTTGCGCTTTTTAGAAACAAAAAAATTCACAAATTTCTCACTTTGCTTGAAAAAAAAGGGAAAAAGTAAAAACGATGGAGCCAGAGAAGTGAGGAAGTTGAAGCCCTTTGAGCAGCAGAGTTCCAAGAAATAAATGAAAGCAAGAAAGCTAATACTAAAGGCCGACAATAAAGCGGCTTTGGAAAAGCAAAAAATGCTTAAGAAAGAGAAGAATAAATTCACTGAAAACCAGGTTTAGCGACAAATTTCTCGGAGGTGTAGGAGAGTAAAGTATAGTACAAAGCTTTTTTGCTATTATTTATTATATGCTTGTGTATGTGTTTGCTTGTGGCACTTTAAGGTCTTCTCGTTTTATTTTTATTTTTTTTTTTAGCTTTTTTTATTGTCTACAATGACCCCTCTTAAACGAGTTGTGTTGGCTATAAGAACTTTTCGGTGAACAACGAGTATTTAAAGAGGTGAGAAGGCGCAAATAACGAAGCAATAAATGTGTGTATGTGTGTATGTTTGTATGCTGTTTGTGCGAAGCTTGTTGGCCCAGTCACTGTGCTTCCGGCCATTCTGCGCTTTTATTTGTTTATGAATGAAAAATGCTGCTGAGTGGTGTGGACACTCGCTGGGAATACATACATAACTACATACAAACATATATATACACACATTTAAAGAATACTATGTGCTCGCTATGCCTATGAGTGGAGGTGTCAACGCGCCTTTTAGCTAATCGTTGTAAATAGCTTACGAATATTATTTTGTTTTTGCTTTCCTACAAATTTTCTTTGGTTGTTACAAGGCTTTTACCGGCTAAGTGATAGGAATATGTACAAACGAGCATGTCTTCTTCTTTCGTTACATAAGCACGTACGAGCAGCTAAGGTAAGAGTAGATTCCATCTTCTTTTATCTGCTTTGCTTCCTTGTATTTTTGCTTACAAAAATGCCTGCTTTTTGTACCGTTATTTTCCTTTTTTTTTTGTCTTTTCGCTGATATTCTTATTTGCTTTGTTTGCAATACATTTAAATGCTTCGGTAAACCGAAATGCACGCGTGAGTAACACGAGCCGGTTGCGGTCGGGCCTGCCTTTGTTTTCCCCAATTCGCTGACCAGCGCTTTAATGTGCTTAAATGTGCATTTACATGTGCTTACAAGTACTATATCCGCCAGAACTTGAGCCTACAGCCGGTGCTTGTTTTTGTATTTCGTTTTATTCTTTTATTATTATTATGCTTTTTTTTTAGAAATAAATTTCAAACGCTTTTATGCAGGAATATGCCTATATATATGTACGTACATATGCATAAGTATGAAATAAATGCTTGGTTTACTTATAAAAACCGTAATTTTAGCTGTTTGTCATGGTACTTAACTTTCGGTGACAAGCTTGGTCATCACTCCATCGCTTTACAACACAAAATAAACGGCTCAAAGTCGTTCATACGAGTATATGTATGTATGTATAAATGTTCATATGCGTTTACTTTGTATATTACTATGTATGTACATACATATATACACTTGCAAGTACGAGTATATTCATTTGTCTGAAATTTAAGCCAATTTTGTGTGAATTTTGTGGTGCGTGGCAAGGCTTTTGGCCACGATGCCGAGTGGACAGCACGTTCAAGAGGAAAAAATCAAAGTAATAAAAGAAAAATAAAATAAAATAAATGAAGTATAAATACTATATCATTTACTTTGCGGTTTCATGTTTTCACTCCATTATTTTAAAAAATATCTTGTTCTCTCTGTAAATACTTTAGCCAAAGACAGAGGTCAATGCCTGTTTATACTTTTTTTTACTCAGTTACAGTAATTTGTAAAACAAAAAGAAATAAAGTAATAAAAAATATAGTCTTCCATGTATTAAAAGTAATTTTCAGTAATATTTTTAGAAATCAATTGTACATTGACTATTTTTAAGAACTTTTTTATTTTGAAAAAAAAAATATTAAAAACTTTTAACTTACTTCTCATCGAAAGAATATTGCCCATTTAGCACTTGGAACATTTTCTGATACAGTGTGTTGAAGAATTTATCCATCACTTGCAGCAAATCAACGCGGCCACGTGTATAGTAATTTTCCAATTCATTAAATAAATCGGAGAAAACATAAGAGTTCTGTTGATAGATGACGCCGTAAGTGCGGGTGAACATTTTGTGGAACTCCTCCTTGGATTCGCTTAATAATTTGCGAAAAATGGCTGAAAGAAAGTGAAAGGAATTAAATCATTTACAAGACTTGTTAGATTTTAATTACAATATTATACTTGATATTAACAGAACAAACAAAATTAATATACTTTAAAATAAGAAATTAAATAAAATTAATAAAAAAGTAATAACGAAAGTGTATAATTATAAAAATGAAAAGTGCAATAAAAATATAAGTAAAATAACAGATAAAAAAATAAAATAAATAAATAAAATTAATTTAATCTAAATTAAATAAAAATAAAATAATTAAATTTACTAAATAAAAAAACAAGGAATAAATAAAACAAATAGTAAAATAGGAGCTCTCTAAAAAAATACACAAAACAAGAGTAAATTTATAAGAATTAAAAATTAATTAAATTAAAAATAAATTAATAAAAATTCATATAATTTAAATAAAATAAAATTGATTAAATTAAAATGGTAATAATTAAATAAATAAATAAAATAATAATTAATTAAATTGAATAAGCGAAATTACTTAAATTAGTATGAATTTACTAAATTTAAATATATGAAAAAAAATGAAATAGACTAATTAAAATGAAATAAAAAAACGAAATCAAATAAAAATTAGTTAACTAAGAGTATAACAAAAAAAAATTAAAATAAATAAAAACCAAATGTGTATGGAACGGATATTGCCTTAATGAGAAAATATGGATTAAGAACAATTCAAACAACACTTGCGCTTTATTTAAGCGACGCATGCGCAGATCAACTTGAGACATCCGCCAACGGCACATCACGCTTATTAAGCGACTCAGATTTGATAATCACATTCATACATATTTGGTTGTACAAAAATTAGATTTGCCTGATTTTGGCGGGTAACATTAAATTATTGTAATTGGAAAATTCGACATCCGCTTGCCCTAAGCTCGTGTTGATACAAGCGCGCTACAGTAGCAACAGCATGCAATAAACAGGAAAAAAAGTAACAAATTGCTGGAGTACATGCACGATTTAATTTCGTGGCTCGCATGCGCAACATGCAACCGAATAAACGTTTCATTTAACAGCCACTTGTGGTGCCACCGTTGGAGGAGGGTCGCTTAAGCGGCATCGCCAGCAGCAGCAACGCCACCGCCAACGCCAGTAATCCTGTTGGCAATGTGTCATGTGAGATAAAACAGATTTGAGCGCCCATTACATACATACAGCTACTCGTACACACAATTAGTGTTGTATGTAAACACCCCTACTTCTTGCGTTGGAATCACTCATTCGCTCGATTGCTTGATGTGGTTGCCGCGCTGATCATTCATCTTATTTCGGTTCAAGTGGGTGTCAAGTTAATTGTGTCATAGAAAATTTAGACAGGCGCACACATCGATATTTACAATAACCCAACTTGTGGCTTGGATCTCGCGTCACGTCATTGACCTTTTTCTCTGGCAAAGCGCAGGTTAAATTTAAAATTTATTTTACTTGTAAAATGACGCTTTAATGGTATTTGTAGAGTGTAGGAATCGTTTCGAGTCTCAAAGCAGTGAACTCGATACGGTAATAGTGGAAATTATGTAATTTTTGACACTTATAATTTAGCCACAAATTTAACGGGGGCACGCCTCTCGAGGGAGATGTTAATGATAATTTAGTAAGAAAATATTTAACTAAATTCAAATATGACTGACGAAGTGGATGGAAAAATTAGAAGAAGGCATGAGTTATACCCTCTTCGAAATGCTATTAAAGTCTAGTACAGATTCGTAGTTTATTGAAGAGCAAGAGATGGTTAAGATTAAGGGCTCTGCCGTTGAAGTGAGAGAATCGATTTTATATAATTTTTTTTTCGTCAAAAAATCTTTAAAAACCACTCATTTAATAAGGCTCTCATCAAGCTGGTTCTACTTTCTAACAGTATAAAAAGATGTTATTTTAGTCTTTGGCAGCTTTAAAAAAAAGCGAGATCTTCTGTATAGGTTCTGGAGACCTGCCGTAAAGCCTTAAATTATAAATACATTTCCAGACACTTCTGTTAACAGCGAATAATAGAATTTACGTCAAAAAGGGAGAGCAAGACCTGTTGAAAGGAAGATACCAAGGTCCGAGCTTCATCAAATCACAACAGGCATAAAAAGTGGACGCAGTCTGAAGGTACTAGTTCTCTAAGGACTTCTGACACAGTTTAAAGGACAAACAGATATATGTAGATACGGAGGAGTCACTATCCATCCCTTGATAAGACCCAATATAGATATTACTGAATTTTGTAGGTTTCATGAAACGCACTAAATGGTTCGAGAATTTATTAAAGTGAGAGAGGCAGGCCCCTAATTTATATCACAACAGCCACATCGATCTAAGTGCGCTTGATCGGGGATCCGCGATCAAGAGACCACAGCAGCTGATCGCGATGCTTATACTCGTATGTTTAAAGTGATATACCCTGTCTAGTTGGCAAAGCGTGTCGTGGCTGTACAACCTTGGAAAGTAACCTCAAGCTGTTTTCACACGTAGCATCCGCTTTTAACTAGGTTGGACACTCAGGCTTCAGAGTTTATGCGAACAAGGGCACATTTCCTCTGAAAATTTATTTCTCGTCCTTCTTTCTAATAAAATACAATTTTTCCTACTCACAATTATATTTTTGCGCTTTCGCCGCCAAGGCGTTGGACATTTTCGTTATCTGCTCTCTGGACTGTTTCTCCAATTGGATGCGCGATTGCAGCGCCAGGCGAGTCTCCATATTGTACGTACAACAAGTGCCGACGGCAGGTGTTTCACAGTAACGAAGACCCATTTCTGTAAGTAAAAGAAGAAGAAGATGCAGATAAGTAAATATTATGGAAAAGCAAACCTGATAAATAAATTTTAAATATTTGGAAATTTAATTAAATGTTATTATTATGTAAATCAGGTCTAAAAATTCTCGGTATCGCCTTTTAAAGCTGAGAACATGGCGAAGTGGCAAAGAGCAGTGTGGCTAAGAATGAAAAGTAAAACGATGGGAGAATTATAGTTTTTTTTTTTGTTTTGTTGCTATTCAACGTTCTGCTCCACTATGCTCGCAGCTCAAATTAGATGATGCACTGGAAAAGTGTTTGTTGACATTCTTAAGATTACTTGTTTGCTTAGGTTCCTCCCTTGACATGGATGTGAGAAGAAAAACTTTTGTTTGGTTTCTTGTTTGAACACACTTCCCAGAATCGCCACTGTGTGTACGGAATGTACGGCTGTAGCACTTTCAGAGAATCCCGAGCGAGCAATTCAAATGAAAGACATACAATGCAGTGGGAATGCAAATACAGTGTGGTCAGTGGAAGATACAGCCAGATGTACACAAGAGTATGTATGTACATATGTAAATACACTACCGTGAATTATATACTTCATCATTTACTCGCGAGATACTGACTACTAGCGGTTACTAATGGCGAGTGGCTCTTTTAGCCCGTCATCTCTTTGTTTATTTAAGCAGATTGCACATAAACCTACCAGCGATGATATGGAGCTCCGAAACAGGTAGATCCTCATTAATGTGGCGCCAAGTGATAACCACTTGATATGCTAGAGTGATCGCTTGCTCGAGGACGTAGTTATGTTTTTAAAACGGAATTTCGGAGTCGAGATCTTTGTTTATCGAAGGTGTCATAAGGACGGATGCTGTGACAACTTATCCAACGAGTCATAAGCTTTAGCGTTGCAATGCCAGCTCGTCAAATGAAAGGAAATAATTGAAAATGGTTAAGAAGGCTTAAACCGAGGTTAGAGACTTGAGTATTTGAAATGGTTCCAATTGAACCAAAGTTATACAGTGTGGACCAATAGGAATTTCGGAACCCAGACCTTGTTTTATCCTTCTTCCATGAAATTATTTAGAAAATACTTGCGATCCTCTTTTGGTCAGTAGATCTGTACGGACTTGGGTTTAAAGAAATCCAAAATCACTTGCTTCTCATTGTGCCAAGAAAATTCTTCTTCTCATTGTAGCGTAAATTCGATTCCGCAATCATTCTCACTCACCTCCTTTCACTTCCCATTCAACTACTTCTGCCGCTGCTTGGTTAAATTATTTCTGTGCCGTCTTATTCGCCTCGACTGGAGTATTTGGAAATGAAGTGTGAAGAATTCCAAAATCAATAAGCGTACTGTTGCATGCCACGCAGTCAGAGGTACCCTATACATACGTGTATATCGAAATGAATGCTCATGGGTGCAAGCACACACTCTCACTCGCTGCGCCAACTGCGCTTTATCGCCTTGGCTTTCGTCAGTCCCTCCGTTTGACTGCGCGCAATTACATCGAATTATGAGGTGTTTGGGCTGCTTGAATTGCATGGCTGCCTCGCTGGCCGCCTGCAACTGCCGTTTGGAGCTTCCACAGGCGTAAAATAAACACCCGAAAGCAAATAAAATCGCTGAAAGCGTAAATTTTAATGAATCATGTGTTGGCAATGCACCACCGAGGGGAATTAAAAAAACACACACAAAGCGGAAAGTAAAGGAAAAAGCGCACAAAGCGGGCAGCTATCGAGCGCGGCACATGGAATTCCATTCCGTGCAGCAAACATAAACTCAGCGCATTTTCGCTATTTGTATTGGCATTTTATTGCTGCCACCTACAGATGCCCAAATGCTGGGCCGTCGTGGTGTATTTTGCAATTTTGATTTTGTTCTTTTGTGGTTTTTTTTAATTCCCAATAAATTACAGCAGCCACTTTGTTTGTATGTCGACTTCAGTGAAAGCTCATATTCATCTGCCTTCAAGTACATACATATTTACTCTCACACTCTTCTCTCCTTTGAAATGACGTGCGAAGTGGCAGGCATCTGTATCGTCAGACGCCACATGCAACTCTGCGCTGGCATTTACGTGTACCGTTTGTGCTGAAAGCAATTAATTATGTGAAGCAAGAAATCGCTGCCTATTAAGCCGTTTTAATTGCCTCCACAAACTAGGAACTTTTTTGTTTGGCGCTTATTGTGCATCACCTGCGGTCCGCTGGTTCAATCGTCGCGGCAGCGGATATAGGCGGCGGGGGAGGATGTCTTACAAAGCTTGTTGAGGAATTTTCAGTACAGGTATAAGTGTATTTACATTTCCCAACACGTATTAATTTTTATTTGAAGATTTGTTAAGTGAGATGTGTTGCGCATTAAATTGTTTAAATTTGTTGAATTAAATTAAATTAGGAGATTTTCGGCGCATGGCCACCCAAATTGATGGTGATGATGATACATATGTATGCTTGTTTAATCTGTGGCATTTTCAGTTATTTGCAAATGTTTGAGCATAAAATAATAGGAATCCCTGTTAAGCGGAAAAAATTATTCAGACCAAGAAGTCTCAAGCTTGGTATACTTCTCTTCAAGGGCTGCTATGAACATTCGACCTCTTAGTAGGACAATGTTCAATAAACTTTAGATATTATTTTAGTGGCATTCGGAAGGGTTGGGTTCATATCCCGGTGCCACCAACACCAAATTCTCAAATTGCGATCGCCACCAGACAGGGAATGTCCACCCCTCCGAGTGTATTTCCGACATGAAATATTGGCTCCTAAAAAAAACCATCAGCCGTTCAGAGGCGGCTTAGTACAAACTGTAGGTCCCTAGGTCCCTCCATTCGTTTGGAAAAACATCAAGACGCAAAACCACAAATTGGATTTTAATTTCAATATTTTGTATTTTCCATCCGGTTTTCGTAATTCAGTAGAGACGTCACTTTATAGATTGGCAATTACTTGGAACTTACATTATGAAGCAGTTCCCAATGTGACCACAACGGACTCCGCTTTGAAGACGCTATCCTAGTTTGTGTGTGATGTCTACTACTGAATGAGTACGAAGAAAGTTTCAACACCGCACTTACATTTCACTTGGGTTCATTGACTATATAAAAATTGCGAGCTTCTTCCCATTCCTACATTTTGATCTTAGTCGAAACCTAACCTTAAAATAATTATAGAAGCGTAAAACACTTTTAATCTGATTTCACCTCTACGCCAAATCAGATTACATTTACTTGGTGCAAATTGCTCTAGTATGCACATATATAGCTCCAAGGTAAAGTCCTAAATCCAGCTCTTAAATTCATTTTCAAGTAAATAAATGCAGTAGAATCGTTAAGATAAGCTACCCCACCGCAATCAGCTGATGGAAAATAACAAAGTCTTAAACTTAAGCATTTTTTTACATGGCGTTTGCCCAAGATGATAACACTTGACTGTTATCGATAACAAACTAACCAATCGATTAAGCTTTGATTGACGAAAGCGCGCTCCATCTTTAGCAAATGTCACGTGAGCATAAAAAGCAAGGCTGGACAACAAATAATATTAGTATAAACAAGTAACAAATAAACAATTCACCAACAACGACAAAAACTCTAATAAGAACGTTATGCTGACACGTGCAGCAAACCAATAAAATACAGAAACAAATAAAACTATGTACATACACATGCACATATGTATGTATATTGCGTTATGCAGCAATAAGAACTAAAAACTAAAATCAAGTGAAATGCAAGCCTAGCGAAAAAAGGGGAGCCGTTTTTGTGGTCGCCAGACACAGGTCGGATAAGCAGTGCCATTCAATGCCCCCGTTTGTAGCGCACATGCAGCTACCTAGATATGTATGTACGTATATGCTTCTACCTAGTATACACAATATGTATGTATTTATGAACATAAAGCGCTAAACGTCAACCCTTTTTTGCGTTGTCATAAACATACATACTTTTATTTAAAAAAAAAAAAAAAAAAAAAAAAAAAAAAAAAAAAAAAAAAAAAAAAAAAAAAAAAAAAAAAAAACATTTTATGGCGCTAACTTGCTTTACTTTACTTGTTGTTGTTACTGCTGCCGGTCTCCAGCACGTCCATACAAGCAAGCAAATGCATTGTTGTGGGCATAAACGTGCTACATACGAGTATATATGCATATGGTTATATGTATTTTAAAGCACATGCGGTGGTTTTTTTTGTTGTTGCTTACTTTTATTACCAACAATTTTGTATAATTGTTATGATGGCTAAATGTCAAATGTGTTCCCTTATAAGCACTTACATACACACATATATGACATATATGCATACACACTGGAACAAGTAAGCAAAGAGTTCTCTGGCGACTTAGAAGCGTCGTTTGAGCGCTTCTACGTGCTTGCGGGCGCTTGGCATAACCAACCATATCGATGTTATCTAAATTGTTTGGACCATAATTACAACAATTTATGCTAACGCGACAATTTACGCCAGCGAATTACAGTTTGTGTATGTGTGCGCGTGAGTGTGAGTGTGGTAGCTAGTAGGAGCATGGCGAAAATGAATTAAAATGAAGTGTGCAGTTACAAAGCCATAAAGACGTACAATTCGGTTGAATGCGCATTGTGAATTGTGCGTCTGGAGCTGGCAATAATGGGAGAATTAGAGAGAGATGCGCCGTAATGTTAGCTTCTTTTCTTATCTCAAGGAGAAGTTATAAGATGAAAACTACAATTCTTCAAGAAACTTTTCTGCATCCTAAAATTGATGAAATAATGAAATGTTACAACGAATTGTAGAAATATAATATAAGAAGGTTAACAACTACAAATAAGATAACTTGGAAGAGTTAGGTTAGATTAGGTTGAACTGGCTCAGCGGGTCTCCCTTCGAATCGGAAGATCATTGCTGTTTCTTTTGTACGTTGAAGTAGGTCTTGTACTTTTCTCCGCCAAACAAGCGTAGCCTTCGTCTTCGGAATGCTGGATACTCACAGCTTTCGTGCTCCACTGCCTTCGCTCACTCCCTACATTTCCT